ACCCAGGTCTCTGGGATTCAAACTGTGCATGGAAGGAACTTTCTCAGACATCTAAGTTTTTCCAGAATCCCAGTAGACAGAGTGAGGAGAAACCAAAGTTTTCCAGTATTCCTCCAGAAGATACAGGGAGCCTGCTGTGCTCTCACTGCTGTCCTGCTGCCTGACAGCATGGTGCCAGCCTCTCTCTGCCGAGCCTGTGTTTGCTGGCCTGTTTTGTGGCAGGCAGATGCAATCACGTGTTCTTCAGCTGGTGTAAAGTGACATAGCTTCATAGAAGGTCCCAGGGTGGGAAGCAGTGCTGCCTGGGGAGGAATGCTTTGCCCTGGGCAAAGCATTGCCACCTTCTGCCTGTGTGCTTCCGACGCATCCAGTACCCCCTGCCGACTCCTCATCAGGAAATCAGCCCTTGAGTTGTTGGTAAAACAGTCAGCAAAGTAGGCGTGGTATGTGGCGTGGCAATTCTTTCACTAGTTTTCTGTATTACCCTCTGTCCGTATAAACCATTACAAAGCCTTTTAAAAATTAGGTTTCTGCTCCTGGTATGCCCACCTGAGTCCACAGGTACTGCACCAAAAAAAAGGAAAGAACATATGTGGGAGTCAGTTTTCCCATTTGAAGATGTATTTCTATACAGTTGGGTCACATAGAGGGAAATAATGCTAATATTCTTGGGAGTTTAATACTTTCCATTGTATAAGAAACACAGACGTCTCAATGCCTGTTAAAGGTTAGAGAAATATTTGAAAATAACCTACTTCAGTTTTTAAGCAGCAATGCACCATAAGCAAGAGAAGATGATAAAGTCCAGTCAGGTTGTACTCAAGGGATGACATACATAGTCTGTCAAATCTAAGTCTCCATGTTTGCATATAAATGTGATAGGTCTACTTATTGTACTGTTTGCTGATCCTTTGAATAGGCAGTGCAGTGGCTGAGTTTTCTGTTTGATCAATATTTTTTTTTGCTGTTCAGGACAAAATCCAAGCTGAAATTTAAGTGAAAATGGAGAAGACTAAAGTTTGACTGCAATGTCAGCATCTTATCAGGACGTGCTTTTGGGCGTAGCAAAAGTTGAGTGCAGATAAGTTAGAGCCTAAACTACTAAAAAATTACAACCCTTGTACACCCCTTGTAAGGAATAAAGAAAAATTTCTTAAAATTCCTCAAAATTTGTGTCAGTGTCAATCATGCTCATTTAGGGCAGGACTTACATTGCAACACATGATCTTGATTGGGGCATGTGAAGTTCAGGACTAGCAATTTGGTTATGACAAGATACCACCAAATAAAATTTCTATGGGCAGTTTAAGATGGTTTTTGCAATGAAAAATTATTAATATACTTCTGAAAATAGTAACTGTGGTAATCATTTAGCTGTCACATAGAGTGTTAGATTTTGTCATTTAATAAAAATGAAGCAAGCAAGAACTGTAACTTAAAAATAAAACCCTCAATCTAAATATATACCATTGTCTTGACAACTTCAAAACACAAATGGAAAGGCTTTTGTAATGAAGTTTTTACTTAGAAACCAATGCAAGAAGTGGCTTTCAGATTTTGCAGGATGATTACAGGAGGAGTAAAGCCACATCAGAACTCAGCTCCGGCACTGCCATGTGCACGAGCTCCAGCACGGAAGGCACAGGTAATACTGAGCTGTTGCTTCCAAGTGGTGGCATAACTAAAGTTTCTCTTGGCCAGTAGTGGTGGAAGTTGTCAAAGTCAGGTGAGGGTAACTGCAGAGAGGAACAAAACCGGTCTTTAAAATGTGCTGGTGGTTTATAACTCCCATGCCAGTGACTGAACTTCCTAGTGATGTTGGTTGCCCCAGGCCAGGTTGCAGAGGACTCAGCTGAAAATAAACTGTATGTTGCGAATGGCTTAAGGGTGGAAATACCTAATGAATTGCACAGAAAACCAGCCTGTTATAAAGTGGCTTGTATGACTGATAATTCATCAAGTGTGGGAAAAAGACCTAAATTTTTGTCAGCAGTTGATACTGGAGGCAATAAGGTGGCAATTCCAGAGGTATGATGACAAGAAAAGCCAAACCATTTGGGAACAACATAGTCGTAAACTTTGAGAACAGCAAAGGAGAGAGAAGTGTGGAGTACTGGAAGTAAACTGAAATAAACTGGTGTTACATAACTGGTGTTACAGTGGTAATATCTGTCTGTCTGTGAGACAGGCTGTCTACTTGGGCTAGACCTTCCACAAAATTCTTGCTGAAACATTGTGGACTTAAAGGGCCACCACAAGCCTCAGATAGGTTAAAAGAATATGAAGGATCTATGGAAAAAAAAAAGTTACTGATAAGATATGACAGGACAGTCAGTTTATCTGGAAAAATATATTGGAAATTTTCTGTGATAATCTCAGAACTGTGAGAGTTTGAAATCACAGGGATCCTGGTCATTAATCTGTGTGTTTGCCAGCAAGTGAGGAACCTGATCATTCAAAGGACTGTGACCCTCAGCACTCCCCACATCAGTGGCTGCTTGTGTAGGTGGTTGTATTTCTGGCAAAAGACCCCCTCTACCCTTCCAGACAGTGCAGGTCTCTCAAGTGGAAATGGCTTCCATAGACATGGATGAATTAAAATAGAAAAACTGCCTGTGGAGCAGGAGAAGGCTACTGCAGAGTGCCCACCAAGGGAAACTCTTGGCTTTCTCTCATGATCATCTGCTTCTAAAGCAGAAAAGATTCTTTATATGCAGTCACTCTCAAGGGAAAGTTCAGAAAGAGGTTAATATTTCCAAACATCTGTTGACAACTGAAGGAAAGGAAGAGAGTTAGTACAAGCAATGGATTTGGTCTTCTGCTGTTTCTGGCCATTTAGCCCAAGAATCCAAACACCTTGGCAGCAGCTCTGCAACTTTAGCATTTACTTCAGTGTTTTTTGTCTTTCCTCACTTCCATATGCCTGCATGGGGCCAGCTATTAATTAGGGCATATTGACATATGGAAACTAAGGTGGTGTTTGAATGTGTTTGAACTGGATGTGGATAAAATTGATATATAAGAATAGATTATTTGGTATCACAGTTCAAATATTCTGCTATTTATGTTTTAGACTTTAGCTGTAGTCTGAGCCTGTAACCTTCTGTCCTCACTATTAGGTCTGTAAAGAAAACTCAGTAATGTATGACACAACATGTTTGCTGAAACTGAGTACAATACTACAGTTTTATAAATTGAAGACACTTACAGGGTTGGATATTGGAACTTGGATATTTTTAGGGATTTTTTTACTTTAGGACATAACTGTTATATCAATTTTCTGGAAAATTGAAGGCATCTCCATATCTGTTAAGATTTTCAGACTTTGAGAAGAGGGCTTATTGTGAATCTAAGAAATTTTTAAAAAATAAATCAGAATTAAATTTATCTTATTTATATGTCTTCTCTTAATTCTGTAGGATCACATGCTGACTGTTTTGTCTTCCAGACAGATTTTCCCAGTAATGTGTCATCTGTTTGTGTGTGGAGAAGTGTAAAGTGACTAATTCTTTCTACTATTTACATTCATAAAGTAAAAATTGTTTTGTTCTTGAAGAAACTGCTAAAAGCCCTTCAGTGGAAGCACTAGAGGCAATTAAATCATCAGTCCTAAATATATTTATGCATTAGCGGTTCAATATGCTTTCCCGAACACAACAAAATTACCTTGGCAAGAATGTCTTTCCTGTGAACTTAAAATTGTTTTCACCATTTTTATACCTGCCAGGGTTTGAAATCTATAAATAGAGAGATTTGTGGAGGAAGGGGTATATCTTTATGCATAAATATATATATAGGGACATTGAATAATTTTTTTGGATGATGAAAAGGAGGAATAAAGGGGAAGAGTTGACATAGGAGTTTCAGGTTATAGATGCTGTTACTATCTGAGGCAACACAGCATGGATATCTCCACTGTAAAGATCAGCAATAATTTACAAATATTTAAAAAATCAGTTTGCCAGTCCTATAAGGTGCCTGGATTTGTCTGAGATAGCGTATGTGGCACTACCTGTGTGGAAGTGCCTCTGTTCAAGGTGGGCTGTTATGTGGGGCTGTATTTTTCTTGGCTGTTTGAGTAGAGCCATTGTCTGCCAGATGAGCCTGCCTTCATGAAGCTGGGGAAGTGTACCTGGCCAGGAAATGGCATTTCAGAGGAAAACCTAGATCCTGGGCTTTGTTTTTCTTGCTGGGAAGATGGAGTGGCTTGGTTCTGAGGGCTTTCCAGGCTCTTCACTGCAACCCTGCAATAGTTTGCTTTATAAACACCAACACATTGTATTCCAGAGAGGTAGTGTATTTGTTAAGGTACCTATTTGCTTAGATGGTCTTTGCTTATAGGAAGCAGCAGACCTGAAGATCTGGGAAGTGCTGGTAAGCAGATAGACAGCCTGACACTGCTCCTGTGTGGGGCCGTGCTCCTTGTTGCTGGACAGGCTCCTTAAGGAGATCCTGCTGGTATCACTTGCTCCCCTTTGCCTTCTGGCAACTGAGTTGGATCATAGTAAATTATTTTCCTGCTCCTGAGAAACCCTCATTTACAGATACAGCTGTTAAAGAATCCAGTAAGTGGCTCTGAGAAGCGTTTTAGTTTCTTGGTTGCCTTTTATATGGATAAATTCTGACTTTTTTCTGGAATTTTAGGAGGGCAGCTGCGATTTCCAGCAGTTATGCAGCAATGATGTGTACATTAAAGATATGTTGTATATAATGTGGTTTCCAACATTCTAATTCAAATACTGATTCAAATACCTTTTTCATTTAACATTGAGAGGCAAATGATTGCTTTATCAAATGGACTAGAATTGCTTTTTTCCTGGGTAGTCTTCAGCACTGTTGAGAAATTAATGGCAGTGTCTGAATTTATGAAGGGCAAAGAAATGGTATTCACTAATTCAAAGAACTAATTAGAAATAAACGCCTGTGGGTATTGGGTTCCCCCCCCCACTACATTTCAGGAGCATTAGAGGAAAATTTAATAATTGCTTTCAATTTTTCAGGCAGCCAACATCAAGCGTGAAATGACCTTCCCTGCATTTCAACAGGAGGATGTAAAAAGTGACATCAGTCAAAAACTGCCAGACCAACAGTTTCTCCTGTTTACCACAAAGGAGGAAGATTTAAAAACAGCAGAGACCAAAAAACTAAATAGAGCTCATGAGTATGAAAAGGAAAACACTCGCTCTGTTTGTCTTCTGGAACAGAAGCGCAAGGTTGTTTCTTCAAATATTGATGTGCCTCCAGCAAGGTAAGAAGAGTTGGAGTTTTTTCTTTTAAGCTTTTTTCCACTTTTTCCATGCCTTTTTTTTAAATGGGATATTAGATGCAAGTTTCATAAATAGCACTATGAACTGCTAAGACTAGTATTCATGCCCAAGCAGTCCTAAGTCAATCACAACTCCCATACTTAAGAGATCTGCTAGAAAACTAAAGACACTAGTAGCAGAAACTGAGACCATCTGCAGAGTAGGACTTTGTATTTCTTTTTTACTGTTTTTGCTTTTAGAACATGCTGTAGCTGAGGTACTTGCCGAAGAGGATGTATCTTAAGAGGAAGAGGCTGTTGACCCAGGTTCACCCTGAGAAGTAATCTTCTAAATTAGTCACAGAAACATCTTACCTGATAGCAGTTTATTTTTAAAAATATTTTTACTGTCATACTTGCAAGAGTTTATACTCATGGGAATGTGCAGCGCATAGTGAGGATGTGGTATCTTATGTTCTGTTATATCCCTGTATGGGTATACACCATAATGTGGTCTAGGAAATGGGTTCATAAAAAACTGTGGTGAGGAAAGGCCAGTACAGGGAAATCAAATTTATACAAAAGGGGGATTTTTTTTATTACTTTTTAATTCCTTTAAATTCTTAATTAATTCTTTGAGGATTTGTTGCAAATGCACATAAATGTTTGTGTCTTCAGCATTTGCATCTGTGCATTTTTATTATGAACAATTTATAGTGAATTATTTTGAGAAAAATAATTGTTCTATAATCTGAGCCTGACATATATCACAGCAAGAAATTCAAGGTATGTTTGTCTGGGTTTTTTTCTTCCTCATATTTAAGGAGAATAGTAGTAAGAGAGAAGGATAATCTGGAGAAACTGAGAATTTAATACTGGCTACTGATTTAAAGAGAAGGCCCTTCAGAAATACAGAGTCTAGAACCTTGAACTTCTTGGAAAGACATTACTGCTTTGAAAGAGAAAGGGAATGACTCCTCTAGGAAATGCTGAATATTAATATAAAAGAAACATTCAGTAGTGCTGAACAGAATCTTTTCTCTCATTGGTGAAAAACTGACAATAAGTTGGATAATCTGCATTGCAAGATGACGAGTGCTGCTTCTTTTTTTGTTCATGATTTCGTGTTAGCATCAGTCTTTCTGCGGACATTTTTCTTAACCAGGTTAAGAAAAAAGTGCAGATTTCACTTGCACATAATATTCAGTGAAAGGCTTCTTGAGTTTATAGTGCCACTTAAAAAATTTGTAGTCAGAATGAATGTTGAGTTGTTTTTCGGTTTGTTGGCTTTCTAAAAACCAACACAAACGAGCAGGTTCTGCCATATCATCCAGAACAGAATGACTCCTGTTTTCCTCTGGCTTTCATAGATGACACTTGTGAAAAACACAAGAGTTCATGGATGCTTTGGCAAGATTTTTTTCCCCTATAAAAATCTAGTAAAAAGCTGTGCATTAAAAACATGAAAATATTAGGATGCTTATTTGAGATTTTCCCCATTAATCAACCATGTTAATGTCTGAGTGCCCTTCTCATTGATCCTGTGTGTCTCAAAGCAAGTAGGATCACCACAAAATTTAGGTCAGGAGGGACCTCAGGAAGTCACCCAAGCCAACCTCCTACTCAAACCATATGTTAGCATTTCCATTTAACAATTCAGACAGACAAAGTACAATATTTAAGTGTATTTCTGTATGACTTCATGCAGATAATCCACTTGAAGTAGTAGTCGAGCTCCTGTTTTCCATAGCTGCAAGATCATCCTTCCTTGGAGGGTTGGATATTTTTTCCTGAATGAGCTGGAAAAGAGGATGAATAAATATCTTTAATGCCTTCTTAAGGCTAATTGTGACACCAGTTGTGAGCACAGGCTGCTTTAGATGATAGGATATAAGTTCATTTGCAAAGGTGTCTTTTTAAGTTGTTCTTTGTTTCTGTATTTTGTTGGGAACAGAAAAATTACTATGTTATGTTGTTGCATGTTTTGTGACATGCAGGTTGAGCCTCCTGCATTAGCAGAATTTGAGAATGAAAAAGAAAACAAACTTAAGAGTCTAAATTCAATAGCATAATAAACATTTTGGTCATTCTTCCTATATTTTTGCAGCCAAGGTCAAGTTTTTCTTTTAATCTGAGGTGAATTATTGAACCATTTATCTATAACAGATAGGAAGTACACTTAAACCTTTGCTTGGAGATCTTCCTAAATATTTGTTGTTGTAATGAAGGGAGTGCTCGGTTTCTCTTCCTGTGCAGCACAGTTTGATCTCTAAATCGCATTCCCCAAGAAGAGTCCATGCAGTTGAAAATCTCTTGCATCCTTCCTTCCACTCTTCTGTGTAGGACTGTGCTGATAGAGTTTTGTGTTCTTCAGAGGTGAATTCCTTCTCCCTTTGCCTCATGGCAGGAGTTGTTGGGTTGACTATCCTCTCCTCTGGTGGGAACATCCATCCACCTTTGCAGATTGGTCACACCCAGTTGTGGAAGATCATCTTGTATTAATCAGATGATGTTTAAAAAAGCGTGGGAGAAATAAGGGCTTTGATATGGTCTTCAGTTTCTTACTGCTACATACACCATCTTTACAAAAAAAAATTCAGCTATTATTTTGAAATAGGAAAATGCTATAAAAATGAAGCTTGCTACTTGTTTTGTTTTAAAACCCTAGTGGAGCTGAGGGGCTTACCCTTTCACTTCTTATGCTGAAGTAAAGGGTAACATTAAATTTTACAGTATCCCACTAAACCCAAGACAACATTTAAGTGATTTTGAGACAGAAGTTTACAAAACTGCAGATTCCTTATTAACATGGGTATATGAGTATCTCCAAAAGAGCTCTGAAAAAGTATTTGCAAAGGTAGCTGGTAAGAGCGTGGATAAACATGCTTCATTTTGACCACAAAATGAAACAAAGCCCATCCCTTCTTATCTGTTTTTAAGGGTCTCAGTGAATAGAGGCTCTGCATCTAAAATAACTAACAGTTCAGGAAACACCAGCAGAATAAATGTCTATTTGAGGCATTTGGTTGCCAGGCTTTCATTATTGCTTATAGACTCTGAAACTTTAAAAATGTGAAAATATCTTAGCTCAGTCCTAGTGTTTTAGGTGAATGGTAGTCAGGTGTGCTGAAAATACATGAGATGGAACTGTAGAGTAGGTGGCACATGTTCTACATGTGCCACATCAGTCTGTTGTGCACATGCAGGAGAACAGGAAACCACTGGAAACAAAGGACACTTTAGAGTTTTGGCTTATAATGATATCTGGAGAGAAGGGATAGATCCATACTATTTAATAGCTCAGCAGTTATGCACTTACCTGAAGCCTGGCAGGTGTGGGTTCAGGTTCTTCTGCTGTTGTATTTGGAAGAAGGACCTGAACTGGGGTCTCTACTGTACAATGGAGATGTTTCACCACTGAAATGATGACATATTCAGGTGCTTCTTAGGGCAGCTCTTTAACATAATAGTGTCAGGCTAAGTGCCGCAGACCTGAAATAAATATTTTATTGCATGCAGGAGAATTTTAAGATTGAAATTAAATTACATTTTTTAAGTTCATTATTTGTATTTTCTGTTTCATCTTGCAAAAGTATGATGGACTTTTCTCTCTATGTTAGATGTTCTACTGGAAGTATCTTTTAAATTAAAAGAGGAGGAGACTGACTTTCTTAATGATTTTTTATGTTTGGAATGCAAAAATGAAATGAGAGGTTAACAGCATTAAGTCTTTTCCCTTTTCATATTTCTTCATTTGGTCATTCTGAACAAAATTTATAATAGCTAAATAGCTTTCCTACTTCTGAAACTCAGATAAGCATAAATGAAACCGTTCAGCTTGAGTAAATGAATTGATATAATAAGGAAATTTGAATTCCTTACTTTCCCTTTAAAGTGTAAATTTATTGGTAGTTTTGATGCATAAAGGACTGCAGTCTTGGAGAAAGGGGTCTGACCACTCAACTGTGAACTGCAATTATCTCCAAGAATTGAGATGTTATCTGTAGAGCAGAGGAAAATATGCTTTAGGTTGACCTTCAGTTCAAACAGGAGCGATCAAACACAGCCAGATCCATGGATCTGAGTAGTGAAAGGTCTTTTTTTAAAGAGAAAGTGGTGTCACTGAGGGACTAATCACCTTGTGTGGTGGGCAGAAACAAGCCCAGGTCTACCAGTGTTTCAGGCAGCTACATCTGTAGAGGTCAGATATAATCAGAGATGATGTCCCCCGTAGGCAGCGGTGTGGAAGTTAACAGAGCCTTCTTGCTTATTTGTATTTTCACCAGTTACTTACTAAGTCATGCAGACTTAGTTCCAGAGAAAGTCAAAAAGAAAGATGTAAAAAAAGCCTGGACTGCTGATACAGGGGATGTGAGCATGTGAGTAGAGACGCAGTGCAGACCAGGTACACAAGGAATGACTTCTGCGTCTTGGGGGAATGAGGAGGGAAGAGTGAGCAATGGAGAACAAGAGATGAAATTACCTTATTTTAAGTAAAATGTGGGAATAAATGTCTGGAGATGGTGATGGGGTTAAAGGACCCTTAAGACAGAAGTGTTTTGATGAGTGGTACTTGGAAACCTTCAAAACTTAAATGCATTAGTGTCGTAAGTGGTGTCCTTTGGGTGTCCCAGAAGGAACTAGGCAGGTGTCACTCCTACCCCTCTGATGGGTGGGAATGTTTGAATAGTTTTGCTTTTGTTAACCTTTTGCTAGATGACCTCAAAATATTGTGGAATTTGTATTACCATATCACATCATTCTTCTTTTCCCCAGTCCTACTGTACACTGTTGTCTCTGAGAAAAAGAACAAAAGATAAACTTTCTTTTTCTACGTTGTTTGTGGTCTTAAACGACAAGCCAAAGCTAAAGCTCAGCTGCTTAAGCACTTCCTGATATAGTGTTAAAATAATTATTACGCTTAAAACCTAGTTTTTGTGCTCTTCTGGTTCACTGTTACTAAGAAGTGACATTTGCCATGAGAATATGTTGAATTTTACTAT